TATATATATAATATGTCATTGAAATTGCTGCATAACTTTCCCAAAAACTGTCAAACAAAAGCTGAAAACTGCCCCTAAATTTGTATTGTGACAGCAGCCAAAAACACACAGTCTTTGACTTACAMTGCTGGCAGGTTTTGGCATAAACGAACACGCTTCTCGTCCCTTAATTTACTGTTTGAYTGCACTTAACACTTGGCCTGGAAAATAAGCTGCAGCCCAGAAGCCAAAAAGGCAGCAGCTGAGGGTAAAACAGTGAATTACGTGTGTTTGGTTGTGTTTACAGCCTGTGAAGCCAGTATTAATGTTTGTGTCTGATTTCTTCTTATTGGACGTTCAGATAACTTTGCTCTGAGTGCCACTCAGCTCGGCACGCTGCAGCTCCTGATGAAGAAACAAACACCAACCTTTTTTCCCGATGTGGACATAGTCGTTCTCAAACAAGTCTGCACAGAGAACGGAGACAAAAACAAAAATAAAATTGGCTCAGATTTATCAACAAAGTTATCGGTTTGATTTATAAACACACAGATAGCAAAGGAGACAATATTTAAKGCATGAAACCAAACTGTAACAATGTCAATATCTAAAACTTTACAGATATTGTCTGAGAAACTCCAGGCGGGCGTGAGGCACAGCCGAGGAACTCAAGCCAATACCCAACCAGTGTAGTTTACAGAAAGTTAAGCCAAACTAGTTGACAGATAAACACATTAATTAACCCCAACGGGAAGTATTTTGGTGTGAATTTTGTATTTAAAAGCTGCTGAATGAGTGGAGGAAGCTCCAGGCTCGTTATGAGTGTGGATCTCAGCCGTGKTTTTTGTTTGTACCTGGATGGATGTTTGCGACGTCGTCAATCCCCAACTGGCCCATGCTCAGGTTCAGCTCTGAGTAGACTTTTCTCTGCAAYGGAGCAAAACAAATTCAAAGGTTCATAAACCTTTAAGCAGTAACTCAGATGTTTTGAAGTGGTGGGGGGGGGGGTTTAGAAAGGTTTAGATCACGTGTCAAACTCAAGGCTCAGTGTATCAATCTTTTAAAATAAGTGTATGCTGYTTTAAAGCAAGCACTGACCATAAACTACATCTCCCATGATGCATGTTGATTATTTTAATAACAAAATGACAATGTCCCACCACTAGGTGGAAGTACACAGGGTTCAAAAGTAGCCAGCGAAGTTCACTATTTAAAATCTACTGTATATTACACAGCAATTTTGCCGACTACTTTTGTTGCAGCCCTGTTGTCATGGGAAGTGGGAGTTTCCCACTTACAAGTCGTATATTCAAATTGGATTGCCCCTCCGGTGGGAATTCCCTGTGGGAAAGTGGGAGAATTCTAAATTCAAGATGGCAGCTACTCACCACAACTCAACGGTGAGAAAAACTCTCATACTTTTAACAGTATTTCTATATTATTTCTTCACATTCAGTCAGTCGTACACATAGTAYTTTTCTCTTATACAGAGGACGAGTTAAAACACTGTTTCTATGCAGGAAAAAACACGTAGAGCTCAGTTATTGTTTGCTAGCCAGGGTTCATGCAGGTTTCAGTACATTACATATAAGACCTTTTAAAGACCTTTTAAGACCAGTAGGAATGAAATTGAAGACCAAACAGATGCATTAACAGAAATATTCAAATGGTCCCAGAATTTTTAACATACAAACATTTTACTGCTATCAATTTAGCTATTAAAGAATATTTAATTTTAATWCAAGAACACCAAATTATTTTAATGAAACAGTCATTACTATGAGACCTTCATATCAACTGCTGTGGACCGCTTCCAACCGAGTGCAAAAATCACTGATATCAAGTCAAGTCTCATTGAAAACACACTTTGCCATGTTTAAACCACAAGCAGCGAACATGACTGAACTTCTTTGTTTTTTGGGAAGGTGAACAAGCTGCTGGATGCAGGGGGTTGTTGTGGCAAAGAGGTTGAAAACACGGAAGAAAACTGTGCCATTTTATGCCTGCAGTTATCATGGGATTTGTAGTTTAATGTGCACAAAGACCAGTAGCAAACTTAGCACTTCATGAAGACAGATTGCGTCAACCTCTGATTACAGCGCTTTACTCTGTTTATTTATGCAGCCAACGCTTGTTGGGAATGATCGAAAGTAAAAAAATTAAGACTCAACTAAATTAAATCTAAGACCTTGAATGAAAATCTGGGCATCTTTTTTAGGCCTAAAATTTTGATTTTCAGATTTTTAGCGTTTTTAGACTTTTTAAGACCCTGCATGAACCCTGGCTAGCGGTGCTAAGCCTTAGCAATGAAATGAGGAATGTGACATTTTTGTGTTTAGTTAAAGTTCAACACAAAATGTCAAAGTTACTTACAACTGGCCCTTTGAGGACCACCATAACACTCATGTGGCCCTTGGTGAAAATGAGTTTGACATCCTTGTGTTAGAAAGAAGAACTGACGTAAATTATGGTCAAATTTGGCTAAACAAACTCAGACTAGCCATTAGCTCATCAGTCTGGTGAAAATTAAACCTAATTTCTGCAAACTGAGGTTGGTCAAAAAGATATCTTAAGTTGGTAAGATACTGACTATTACTCTCTCACAGAAACCCCACCTCAAAACACAGAAATCATTGCTTTAATATTTTTATATGACTCAGAAGGTATGTCGGACACTTGAAGATAAATCCATCATGATAAAGGTTCAGACTTGTCCCTACCAGCTGCGGGATGTCCCTGACATTGAGGGGAACCTGGACGAGCCCCCAGTGGCTGCGGGTGCTGACGCCCTCACAGCTGTCGTGGTTGGGGTTCCTCAGACTGACCAGGACCTGGTTAGACGGCAGCAACGAGGTCGTGTTCATCTCAGCCTCGTCAGTCAAGCAAAACGGATTTAGGCAGGAAGGAGTTTCGTTACCTCGAGAAAATCTTTCGGGGCGTAGACGGGCCTGAAGCGACTTAAATCTGAGAAGCACAGAAAGGAACATTTATGAAAACTGTATTTTAAGTTCTYCACCTGACTCGGGGAGAGGGGTTTAAAAAAAGGTTGTTTTTTTAAAGGTGGCAGCGTTCGCACACGTCAGAGAGCAGAGCAGCTGAGGCCGGCCTCAAGTGGGACTTCCACCCGCCTGTCTGCGCGGCTCGGCTGTAAATTCATGTGACGCGTCATCACTTAAGCAGGGGAGCGTTGATGTTTGGGATGGGAGCGGGAGGAGGGCGGGGGTGCCGCTGGTTAATCGCAGCACGGTGCGCGAGGTCTGGATAGGCTCTCTTTCTGCAGTCCAAAGTGTTTACACCAGTAGGACGGCACATCCTAAATGTTATTATATGTTCCTGAGCCGCGATCGAACTGTTAGGACAAAAGATATGCGTGTTCTCTGGAAATGGGCCTGGCTTCAAGCTGAAATAAGGCTGGGGCGAGCAGATAAAACCAGACTTTAACAGCAGAGTGCTTTTGCACATTCTTCTCAAAAGGCCTCTGAGTTAAAACACTAATTATAGATTTTACAGCAGGATCAGTTTTTATGGTTATTCTTTCCTGAAGCCTTTTAAGTCTGAGCTAAAGAAGAGGTACAAACCAAAGTCAACACGGTGAAAAGTACAAAGGCTGCAGAGTCAAGTTGAGTTTCTATTAAAGCAAATATAGAAGTGGTAGATCGGGTTTAGAAAAGCAGAACATGAAGCTGATGTTAAATAAACCAGCACGCACGTCACGGTTAATCTTTCATTAAAAGGCAGATGGGTCGGGCTCAAAGCCCTGGGGAATGTCTGCAGACCTGGTTCGTCCGTGCCCATCTCATTCCATTTGTTGGTGAGCTCCTTCTGCTCGGCTGCAGGCCTCTGTGGAGCAGGCAGAAACAGGAGGGGTCAACAAGTACTGCACAGCCGGGAGAAATCTCAGCAAATGATACAAAGACAAGGAGCGTGCAGACGACGGGTTATTACTGTGTTATAATGCTGGATGTGCAGACTGTTAGAACTCAACAGAGTGAAGTACAGCATCAGCATGTAAATGATAAACATTTGACAAATCGTCACACAAGTTATTTATAAAAATAGAAAATGAAATGGGCTCTAGGACACAGCCCTGTGGAACTCCTTTTGTGATTTCAGAAGAGAGGAGGAGCCTGCTTTAAGACTTTTACTCAAGTAAAATTCCTAAAGGAGACTTTAACTTTTACCTAAGTCATTTTTTGGTAAGGTACTTGTACWTTTACTCAAATATCACTTTGTGGTACTTTATACAACACTGCAGTTTGGTTTGTCCTTCGTGCCCCTCTGCGTCTAAGTGTAAGTACACCAAAAAAGAAGAAACTTTAACCCAACCACCTCAGATTTGAAWGAAAATTGAAATATTTGTCATTTGTGATACCACAGCACAGTATCTCAAATTTTAGGTCAATCGKATCAATGGTTCTGGAGATATGTGTGACCCACCCCCCCAGAATTCTGTTAATAAATGAAAATGTCCATTCTGTCAGGATTTTCTAAATCAGATTGGATTACCAGGAAAGCATTAATCCGACAAGGTTTTCACTCCGTCGCACGACTTTTCAACGTGTGTGGTTTTCATTTCCTCTCAACTACTCCATCTGGGTGGATCACCATTTTTTTGGTAAGTGTATAAAGGTCGTTGGAGAGGAAAAGATTTGTTTAAGTTGAGTTAAATTATCCAAGACAAACCATATTTGAACTACCTTGCGAGCCAGGGGCACTTCGAGCTCCGTGCTCATRCTGTTCAGGCTTTTGAGAACGCGCTTCTCCCAGCTGGCCTGCGAGGGGAAGAAACACGGTCGGCTTCAGATACCATCTACGTTACATTTAAAACTGATTTTACATCTCTAAAGCAAATTAGCAGATAAAAATAATATAAATCAAAGAGTCGGGAGGAGAAGGACTGACTTGAGCCTTCCTCATGTAGRCCAGAGGCTCTTTGAGATGCTCTGCAGGAGCTCTGGGATGACTTGGAGGCAGCTGGCTGGAATAAGAAAACACAAACGTGTTTCAAAGACTGATGACTTTCAAAGATCGAATACAATAAAAGGCACAAACATCCTGTTATTAGATCCAGAAAATCTATTAAAAATAGGTTAGAAAAGTTTTCCTTCCTAAAAACAACCCTTTTGTCACCATTAGCGACCCAGGTACAGATGAGTCAGGACTCATACTCTCCAGATGTACCAAGCGTCTCCTGCTCGCAGCGCAGGATGACTCAAAGTCTTCCAGCATTAAACAGTTGAGCTAATCTAAACACATGAGGGCACAGAGCAGGAGGCAGCAGGCTTCATGTTGACGTCTGAGCCTGCAGAGAACAAACCTGTTCTTAAAGACCAGTGAAAGCAGAACATTTTTCAAACCATTAATGGACCTACAGCAATACTACAGAGGTTAGCTGCAGATGTCTGATCCAGGTCAGACAGAAACAGATCTGAAAGACAAAATCAGAGTTTTGAAGAAATAATTTAATGTCCATGTTTCATTAAATTCCCCAGGACTCACAGTGGATCTGATGAGAAAAAAAAGATGAAAAAACTTCTTCTGTTCTAACTTTAAACATATTTGTTTTATTTACAACAGATAACATGGTAAGAAAATGAAGCATAGATGCTAATGCTAACACACACAGAACACTAGCAAAAAGTAGTAAAGGTTTAGTGTAAAGCTAAAAGTAGTACAAGGCTAGCTAGAAGTTGCAAAGGGGTCAAATCAATGCAGCAAACGCTTACTAAAAGTCACAAATGGCTCACTAAAAGCAAAGGTGTAAAAAGAGTGGTTAAAAACAAAAGACCAAAAGGCTAGTGAAAATATGAGTAGAAAATGGTTGGCAAAACCCTAGCTAAAAGCTAAAAGTAGGAAAATGCTAGATAGATGCTAAAATGTAGAAAAAGTGGAGCTAAAAGCTAAACGTAACACACCTGCACCGTAGTTTGGAACTAAAATTAACAGCATGGTAGCTAAAAGTAGCAAAAGACTGTCCAAAAGCTAAACAAAGGTAAATAATAGTCAAAAACTAAAAGTAGCAAAATGTTAGCTATGTGTGAAAAGCTTCATAAATGTAGCTAAAAGCTAAAAGTAATGGAAAGGTAGCTAAATGTTTTAAAAAGGCTGCTACAGGTAAAAATAACAGACATGTAGAGCAGCTTGAAGGTAACAGAATAGTGGWTAAATATAGCAAAAGRTTAGCCAAATGCTAAAAGAAGCAAAATGTTAGCTAAAAGCTGAAAGTAGGAAAATGCTAGCAAGGTGCTAAAAGTACAAAAAAATGCAGCTAAACAGAATGGTAAGCCAAAAGCTAAAAGTGTCACAATGCTGGTAAAACCCTAGCTAAAAGCTAAAAGTAGGAAAATGCTAGAAAGATGCTAAAATGTAGAAAAAGTGGAGCTAAAAGCTGAACGTAACACACCTGCGCCATAGTTTGGAACTAAAATTAACAGCATGGTAGCTAAAAGTAGCAAAAGGCTGTCCAAACGCTAAACGAAGCTAAATACTAGTCAAAAARTAGGAAAATGTTAGCTATGTCTGAAAAGCTTAAAATTTTCAGCTAAAACTAAAAGTAACAGAAAAGTAGCTAAATGTTTAAAAAAGGTTGCTACAGGTAAAAATAACAGATCTTGGAGCTTGGAGCTTGAAAGTAACAGAATGGTGGATAAATACAGAAAAAGGCCAAACATTAAAAGAAGCAAAATGTTAGCTAAAAGATGAAAGTAGGAAAATGCTAGCAAGGTGCTAAAAGTACAAAAAAATGCAACTAAACAGAACGGTAGGTAAAAGCTAAAAGTAGAAATGTTAGCCAAAAGCTAAAAGTATCACAATGCTGGCAAAGCCCTAGCTAAAAGCTAAAAGTAGGAAAAAGCTACCTAGGTGCTAAAAGCATTATAAATGTAGTTAAAAGCTAAAACTAACAGACAGGTAGGTTGGTAAAAGTATCAAAAGGTTTATTAGAAGCTAAAAGTAACAAACATGTTTCATAGCTTACATCTAAATATAACAACATGGTTGGTGAAAAGTCACAAAAGGAGGTCCAAAAGTTAAATCAAGCAATGTATTAGCTAAAAACATAAAATACAAAAATGTGCTATGTGCTAAAAGGAGAAGAAATGTTGCTAAAAGCTAAAAGTAACAGAAGGGTAGCTAAATGGATAAAAAGGTTGGTACAAGCTAAAAAATAAATGTTTAGCTTACAGCTAAAAGTAGCAGTGTGGCAGATAAATAAAGCAAAGGGCTAGCCAAAAAGAAAGATGCTAGCTAAGTGCTAAAAGTATAAGAAATGCAGCTAAAAGCTAAAAGTATCAAAAGGCTTATTAGAAGCTAAAAGCAACAGACCTATAACGTAGCTTACAGCTCAGTCTAACAGCTAAAAGCAGCAAACAAGTAGCTAAAAACTAAAAGTAGCAAATGGAGACAAAAGGAGAAGTAAGATGAAGCAGATTTAAAAGAAGGTATTTGAAGGTAAAGGAGTTGTATTTATGTGGGGAAAATATCTCCAAGTACAGTTAAATACAATGAAAATTATAAAAAGTCACCGCAATCATCTCCTAAATGTCATCATAAAGGGTTTATTTAATAAATCTAGTATGTACATATGAAATTAACAAGTTAACCTAAACCCAARCTAAATGTAAAAAGGATTTCAGCAGGACCTCCTGTCACTCTGTGTCTGAAGCTCTCAGGTTTAGTTTCTCTCTCTTTAAAACAACGATTACAAAACAGCTGGATTCCCATGTTATTTATGAAATAAAAATGAAAACAAATCGATCTTGTCTGGATTTGTATTTGGCCACAAAACAAACCCTGAACAAGCAGCAGCGTGTGAATTTTTGCAGAGACAGTAATTAAAAGCAGCAGCTCCACTGACTGACTGGTTCTTCCAGTGACACAGAATTCACCCGACTGAGTTCGACCTCCGCAGTCACTCTTCATCCCATCACCTGTGAGCTGCTAACAACAAGTCAGGTGGTTTGTTGTTTTTACTTATAAAATAAAAACGCGTAATCAACAAATAGGGTTTTACTTTGGCACCGTCTGTGGAAGAGACATACACAAGAAAATCTATGACGTGAAAAAAGTGAGAAAGTTTGATGAGTCTGCAGAAAAATAAACAAAACGTTTTTGCTAAGGCAGTTATCTTGAATACATTCACCACACAAATCAAATATAAACCCAGAGTTGTAAAGTAACAAAGTACAAATACTTCATTACGGTACTTAAGTAGCATTTTTGGGTATCTGTACTTTACTTGAGTAATTATTTTTTAGCCTACTTTTTACTTTTACTCCTTACATTTAAAAAAAGGCAAGAAGTGGAAAGTCGCTACTTTTATTTCATTTTTGCTTGTTTTCATTCCAGCTTGTTATTGTAAAATAATAAATACTATCCATATAAACTGTGCCTCCTATAGAGTGAATTTAATTGTGGTTGGATGAGAAGTATAATAAAATTCTAATACTGTATTAGTTTGTACATGAATAAAAGTCACACTCCAGCAGGACATTATCATTAAAATAAAAGTACTGTACTGAAGAAGTATTTGTATTTCATGAATTAATATTATTGTATTTGGCCGCAGCCCTCAGATAGATTTTCATTTTGGGGAAAAGGTTTGTGCAGCCTTGATATATGTATATAAACTGAAACAGCTGGACTAGTTCATCCTAAATTTAACATAAATGAATTATTGTAATACAATATATAGTCATTTCTGCAGTTTTTGGGGAGGTCACCTCCTAATAAATGTAATTACTAAAATCTAACTGTTCATTTTAAATCAATACTTTTACTTTTAATACTTAAGTACAACAAATATCAGATACTTTAAGACTTTTACTCAAGTAATATTCCTAAAGGAGACTTTAACTTTTACCAAAGTAATTTTTTGGTAAGATATTTGTACTTTTACTCAAGTATCACTTTGTGGTACTTTATACAACACTGTGTGAAGCTCTTTTTTCTTACAGAGAAAACGTGTCTTACATGTGTAGCTCTCTGTAGACAGCATTCTGCAGCTTTTTCTCCCAACCTAAAAAAAATGGTGAAACACGTAAACATGGCAGCAAAAACAAATATTATCACGTGTTTCTATAAATTTAGATTCAATATTCTCACCTGCTGTTTTAAGATAATTACGCACGTCCTCTTTCAGAGACTCCAGCTTTATCTCGGGTCGATGCAAACAGTCCTGGGAGAGGAAACACGTTATTAAGTAGCTTTGTGCTAAAAGCTAACAAACCCCGAAGCGTTAGCTCGATGCTAACCCACTCACTTTAGCTTGTCTCTCTATCTGAGAATGTAAACTGGTCCCTCTGAGCCGCTGGACGACCTGAGCCATGCTCTGAGAGAACTCGGAGCCTTCCTCCATCCTCCTGTTTCACCTGACAGAGACGCACAGGAGCRGTTCCACCTGCTGCGGATGCTGCGCTAACCGACCTGGAGTCGTTACTTAGCAACGGAGGGTCGGTCAGCGCGCGCCGGATAAACAAGCGACTGATTCTTTTGTTCCGACCTAAATAAAAACGTTCCTGCGGTGTTTTCTGTGGGGGGGAAAGAAGTGTAATAAATGGATATATCTCGAATAAAAATGTAATTTTATTCATTTGTTTTGTAAGGAGTGTTTGTTTTACATACTTTTTTATACTGTAATTACTTCCGCATACTTTCCTCTGAGCTCATTCAGGATGACCATTGTTTTTTTTTTACTTTCATACTGTTTGAAATTAGTAGCCTAATGTTAGTTACAAATATTCCTTAAGAAAATGAAATATTCCAACACTAAAACACTATGTGTTCTTTTAACTCTGCGTAACGTTGTGCTGTTTTTCGCCTCCGTTTTGTCAATTTGAGCATTTAACCACTGTTTAGTCAGTCTTAGCTTTGGTTTTAGCAACAGTTTTTCTGGAATTGGCTTTTATTTGTTGTTTTCCTTATTTAAAATCTTTGTAATAATTGACTTATTTTGATGACTGGACAATGTATTTTTATATATTGTTTAAATTAATCACTTTAGAAGATGCTGGTGTAGATTTTCAGTCATTTTAAACATGGCAAATCAAAAATATATGTTAAAAAACTAGGGGGAAAAAATCAAGCGTCATTGTTTTATAAGTTCAGAGTTAGACTTTGTTGATAAATGATGAAGTCTGAGTTTTTATTAATGTGCTCAAAGGACGATGGATCTCAGCTACTACCATACCAGATTTTAGTTCAATATCTGTAAATCTGAGAGAATTATAACCATTTATGTAGTTTTTTAATTAAGTTAGCTGTGGAAGCCATCTTGAATTGGGTTAGCTCCAAACCTTAATCAGCCGCACACCTACATCCAGTGATCATATCCTGAGAGTTTCATTCAAAGCTATCCTGTGGTTCAGGAGATATTTTGCTAACAGGCAGAAAGAAATGACTCCAAATGTTAATGCAAAGGTTTGACAGCAAAATACCTCGCTCTGTGTTGTGCTCATAATATGTATTGGGGCCAAGCCTCAGCTGCTACCTCTCCAAGTTTTATCTCAACATCTCTAAAATCGACTGAGCTAAAACCAGTTTTGTGTTTGCAATATTTGATTAGCTGTAGCGGCYATTTCGAACCGAGGTCGCTCCAAAATTGAATCAGCTCTAGATGGATATCCATTAATGGATTTACGAGAATTTCGTCCAGATCCGTTCAATGATTCATGAGCTATTTTGCTAACAGAAAAATAAAAACTGCGCCTGAGTCTCCCCACCCATTTCAGTCAGAATAACTCTGCTGCTGACATGTTCACATAAAAATACCGCAGCCTGCAGCAGCATGCCCGAAATGAGACAGAAATAGRTGCAGTGCAGATCTAATCTCCCAAATCACGTCTGGAAAAGAAGAAACTTTTACATCTTTTTGCACCTCTGTGGTCATTTTCTCCATATATTTTGAAGGGGAGGGGTTGTTGGGCTGAGCTGAGCTCCACGTGTCTGAGCGCGCTCAGAGCGCACAGATACCTGCAGGGCAGCGGGCTCCTCACCTCTCCTCGCGCTTCTTATTTGTTTGTTTTATCTCTTTTTTAAAAAAAAAACAGGATATAATTTAAAACTCATCCCCGTGAGGAGCATGAACCCTGGTGTTCTGGAGTCAGATCTGACCTGAATCTGTCGGAGAGCAGAGTGGGGGGGAGAGAAAGGAGAGGAAAAAGAGGCGCAAAAATGGAGACGTTTACGATCCAGGACATGCTCATAAACTCAACTGATCTCAACAAGATTTTGTGTAATTTCGGGATCGGGAATCTGTCGGAATGTGGGAGCGAGCAGGACCTGCCTCCCGAGCAGAAAGGTACCATTACATTATTTTTTCTTTAATGACAATAATCGGATTAATAATCAGAGCCTCGCTTTTGGGCATTTTTTTTCCTCACGCGTCATTGCGCATTAAGGCGCACGGCTCAGGTTCTCCACGAGGCGTTTAATGCGGTCACCCAAGTGAGCAGCAACATATAGAAACAGAAAAGTGTTCTTTTTTATGATGCATTTTTTGGATCAAATTAAAAAACATATAAACATAGGAGTCAGTTTTCTAAATAAAAACAGTTTTAGACAAAAAATGACATCATTAGCTTTATGGCATTTTGGGGTTCTTGATTTGGTACAGCTATAATTACCTGCGCAAGTTTAAATTTATTGTGAACTCTTGAGCTGATTTTATTTTTGAAGGATTGTGACATATTCTTTATTCTACTGCGCTCGAATGAAGCTGGTTTGGGKTTTATTTTCCTAGCAAAAGTAATCAGGTTTGTTAATACTAGCATGAGAACAAAGCAGTCATGACTTATTCCATCAAAACTAAAACACTCTTTATTACTATTTAAAGCATCGCCTTTACTCCACCAAATYATAAAAATCATCCAAAGCTGTGTTATTGTTCCACTGAAGAACAAAATAAAAAAATAAAAAAGCCAGCTAGTAAATATGACGTCATGCTTTTGACTATAGCTCCAGATATGGACGTGTTGTGCGTCAGAGAGGGWGAGTCAAATTAGCCTATAGGTATAATTTAGTGGAATGACATGAATGTGTTTGTGTGTGCCCCCTCCTCTGCCAGACATCAACCAGACAGTCCGGATCATCCTCTACAGCCTCATCTTCCTCCTCAGCGTTCTCGGGAACAGCCTCATCATCGCGGTCCTGGTGAGGAACCGSCGCATGAGGACCGTCACCAACCTGTTCCTGCTGTCCCTGTCCATCAGCGACCTGATGGTGTCCCTGGTGTGCATCCCCTTCACCCTCATCCCCAACCTCATGAAGGACTTCGTCTTCGGCATCGCCATATGCAAGCTGATCATGTACTTCATGGGTATGTGGAGACAAAAKATTTGTCCAAGTTCTCTGTTAAAAATATGAAAACTTTCCTGCTGAGCATGGAGTAATCTGTCCGTTTCCATGGAGACACCTCWTTCTTGTTGTGTTGGTAATCGTGTTTCTCGTCAGACAGACAGGGGATAATTKAAGTCCTGCACAAGGTTCATTTCCCTCTGAGTCCGAATGCTTCTGGAGGGTTAATGAGCTTGAGCTAAAAACAGGCCCGGTTATGGAAGCAGCACAAAATTCAGTTTCAGCAATCACTTAACTTTCTCCAGTTCTATTGTTGTGATCTGTTGTTTCCTGATCTGTGAAAGTCAATTAGAGGAAACAGGCACGTCAAACAATAGTTCTGTATCCCTGTAAAAAAATAAAAAACAAAAGAAGCCTGGCTTACTCTCAGTCCTTTCAAATATGTAGATTTTAGAACCATCCATCCATCATCTGTACACGCTTCTTCCTTTTCAGGGTCGCGTGGGTCACTGGTGCCCATATCCAGCAGTCACAGTGCGAGGGGCGGGGTACACCCTGGACAGGCCGCAGGTCCATCACAGAGACACACATAGGGACAAACGAGACAAACAACCATTCACTCTCTCACTCTCACCTAAGGACAATTTAAAGTTATCAATTAACCTAACAGTCATGTTTTTGGTCTGTGGGAGGAAGCTGGAGTACCCGGAGAGAACCCATGCATGCACGGAGAGAACATGCAAACTCTACCCAGAAAGGTCCCCGGACTGGGATTTGAACCGGTGACCTTCTTGCTGAGAGGCATCAGCTCTAGATTTTAGAACCCAAACTAGCAAATCTGCTTCTCAAGTCTTTGTTCAGAGTCCCTGATGTGTCATCTGGGGACTTTTACATTACCTCACAAACCTTTTATGTTACTTCKCAATACATTTACATTATCTTTGAACACTTTTATATTACCTTGCAATACTTTTACATTACTTCAAAATACTTTTACATTAACTTGCAACACTTTTACGTTACCTCAAAACTTTTACGTTACCTTGCAATACATTTACATTAACTTGCAACACTTTTACGTTACCTCAAAACTTTTACGTTACCTTGCAATACATTTACATTAACTTGCAACACTTTTATGTTACCTCACAAAACTTTTACGTTACCTTAAAACTTTTACGTTACCTCAAAACTTTTACGTTACCTCAAAACTTTTACGTTACCTTGCAATACATTTACATTAACTTGCAACACTTTTACGTTACCTCAAAACTTTTACGTTACCTTGCAATACATTTACATTAACTTGCAACACTTTTACGTTACCTTGCAATACATTTACGTTACCTTGCAATACATTTACATTAACTTGCAACACTTTTATGTTACC